GGCCGGGGGGAGGGACTCCAAAGAACAAAAATGGCACCAAAAAGAAAGAAAAGAAAATCAATGGAATGATGTGGAGACATGAAGACGGCGCAGGCAGACGGGAAGGACAAGTTGTGCTTTTTGACAAAAATCAATGGAATGATGTGGAGACATGAAGACGGCACAGGCAGACGGGAAGGACAAGTTGTGCTTTTTGACGAGTGAAATATCAGATTACAGATTGAACTGGCGTGACTGAGGTGCCATCTTTTTTTAAACACATTGCAATTCACCACCGGGACTCAATTAAAGCAGAGTTCGACTCACCCTCAGTCCACGTAGCCTTTGCGGTACTTGATGACATCCATCGCTGCGCCGCCGCCGGCCACCGGGTGCACTTCTCAAGTGGTCTCGCCCTGAATTTTAACTGCACTTCCTCCGAAGCGGTTGCCACTCAAGGACACATGGGCCATGCTGGTCGGAACCGCGTTAATGTGTTTGATTATAACCGCCGCAATATGGTTCCATTCAAAGTAGCGCACCCCCCCTCTCAAAAAAAGATCTGCATACAATTCTAATCAATCCAAACGGGCATTGCGTCTGGCCACATGACGTTAATACGTCAAACTAAAGAGGCTCGACGCCGTACAATCACTTTAAGGGGACTTTAACAGAACGCCGAGTCATTGTTGAGGCTTTCCAGAGAAGCTTGCGGAATTCATAACGCTGTTGAGATTGCGCAGGCGTTCATCAATCCCCCACCCCTGCGTTTCGATGGCACCAACGCGCGGCTATTCGGAAATTGAGGTTGTGTCCTCTTCAGCTGTCCCCCTGCCCGCGCATCAAATAACGCCCCCCCCCCAAAAAAAAGACAGAGTCTAAGAGTTCGGAAAGCAGCGAGAAGCTGTCTCCTCCATCACAACATTAGCCCGGGAGACTGAGCAGGGACATGGGAAGAAAAAGGAAAAAAAAAAAAAAAACCCAAAAACAGATTATGGAGGCGAAGAGCCGGATGGCAAACGGTTCCCCGGCGCAACCGCCTCCCGGGCTCATCTTGGCAAAAATGTCGCCGCGGCAAACACGACGCGGTCGCGCATCCATCAAAGACGCCCGCCGTAATTAGCATAAAACACGCGAGACATGGGGCGCCTGTTGAATATTAATATAGACAAGTGGGTGGGTGGTTTGGGGGGGGGGGTGGCTGTTGAACAACAGTTGCAACATCTTTTATTTCCCTCTGATCACGCGGCGATCCGGAGAGTTACACTAATAAGACCGAGCCCGACGCAGATGTGACCGTGTTTAATCGTGTACAAGGTAGTGCATAGAATTACGACATCAAACAAGGACTGTTTGCAAAAAAATAATAATTTGTGATGGAGGAGTTCAGGTATGGCTTCTATCTTCCAACTCGGTGCTTCTGGAGGATCATCTTTGTCCTTCTAAGGCCTCAAACGGGGGTAGGTGAGGTGGGGGCTGGGGGTGTCTCTTGTGCCACTCTACTTCCTGAGTTTGTTTTCCGTCTGACCCTTTCCACCCCCCACCCGCCCCCATCTTCCCTTTCAGGCTTTCATTTGATGTTGTGTCGGCTAGCTTCGTGCTAACAAACATTTCCAAACAATGGGCTGATGAATCGCTTCAGTCTTGTGGCGTCGTAATAACTCTGCTAGTAATATTTGAACACAGAAAATATTGCAATACTCACTTTTTTTTTGCCGCTCGGTCGATCATCGGTAATCCCACACAATAAACTTGACTGCGCCACCGTTGGTATTGCCGTTCTTTCTTTAACCCCCGGTCCTCAACTTGGTCTGGAGGGAAAAACAAACAAAACGGCACTCAGAAGACTCCGCAACGCACTACTGGCTGTTTTTACAAAGTACGTAATCAAAAATGTTATTGATATTATAAATCATATTATTTTAAGAGAAACGGCCAGCCGCAGGAAGCGAACACAAAATGCCTCACCAC